AATATAAAAAAAAAAAAAAAAAAAAATACACAAAGTAATATAATTTGTCTGTCTAAAAATGAATTACATGATGAATGAAAATGTGAGAGAAATGTTATATGATGAAATTTTTCTGTCAAAAAAAGACGTTTAATATACCTCATAATTCCATTTATCTTGCTGTTGCGAGCTATCAATTTCAGCCTGATCGCTGGTCAAGCCTGGTGTGGATTGTTGCTGCCAGTTAGATGGTGCTGGCTCATTTCTTCCATAATTTCCCTGATAAAACGATTGCTGATTCCAATAATCTTGCTGCTGCGGCGGCGGCTGCTGGTATTGAGAAGATTCGTCCATGTTTCTTATGTATTGTACGTTCGAGTCGTATGTATCTTGAATATTTGTCGGTAAAGATAGCGGCTGCCAATCCGATTGCAACTCGCTGGTATTGACTTCCATCACCGATGTAGGACCATTGTTATAGTCGGGTTGAGTAATAGTATATTGCTGTTGCGACATTGACGGCGGTAACAATTGTTGGTGTTGTTGGTGTTGTTGGTGTTGTTTCATTTCATGAACTTCCTGGTTTTCTATAATGGTACGAGCAGTATCATCGTGGGAATTGTATGTTTCATTTTCAACAATTTCTTCGTCCTATAACACATAGAATTATATTTAGTATAAATAAAGTACATCATATTTACTTTGTCATTAGAAATTTGCGTATAATTACTTGATATTTTCCAACTATCTCAGCCAATTTGTTAAGCCACATTAAATTCGCAGCCTCTTCAACAGCATCCTTAAAGACCGGATCGTGATACTTGATTCGATCGCCCAACACATAAACCGCTTTGATGAAAGCTTTCTTATATTTCAATGGGTCGTTCGCAATATTTGTTGCAATCTGTTCAATATACAACAGAGCCTTTTCAATTAATCCGCAGTCCACCATTTTCATTGTTAGATCGAATTTGAATGTTTGAAGATCTATTAATGTGAAGCCTGGATCACTGAGGTTTCGAGCATACTCGTAGATCTCCGTTAACATGACAGCTTCCGTTGTAAGGAATTCGGAGTACGGTTTATTATGATTTGCGCCGATTAGTATAAGCTTAACTCCGCTGGTTCCATAAGCCCCAAAATCAATTTGCGCAAGAATGTAACAGAAATGTGCAGCGTGGATGTCTCCTCTCGTAAACAACGTGTCCCCGAGAGTCGTTATTGACCGGCGATTGACTTCTGGATTCGCCGAAGTATTGGAGATAATCATAGCCAAGTGAGGCCGCCAATCGTCCCAACGTGGATCCGCAACGCACTATAAACCAAGAAAGCAAACGACTGTTATAACGAAGAAGTATGCATAATTTTATTACAGAACAAAAACGATTATATTAAATAGAATATAAGGCTCTGGTGATTTTTAAATCAAATATAATCAATAAGGAGCATAAAGAGCCAAAATGCTAGGTCTACGTACGAAGGTTATAATATATTCTTTAAGTGTTTACAGACGTTTCGGCCTGCCATCAGGCCTTCTTCAATGTACAATCAGATATAACAAAATAACGATATATTCGCAAAGATTACAAAAGAAAACGAAGTAGAAGACGTAATAGCAATCCTTTCTCGACCATATTGTAGTTCGTTAATCAAAAACGATTATTACCGTGACTATAGCAGGTACACGCCCAGAATGCAACTGGTACAGAGTCTGCAATGGATCATACGGTGGCAGACTGTTCGCGAAACGAGTCATCACAGAAGCGTGCGTGCGTTTGTCCAGTTTACTAGCCAGGAAGAGAGCGTGGCCCCAAAGTCCTTCATTCATCGCATACTCTGTTACAAGTAAGTGGAAATCAATTAATAATGTTGATAAATGTCGATTATATAATGTAGAAAACGAGTCTATCGTACCTAATGCTTCTTGAACACGCCCATAGAGGAGTGTATCTCTGAATTCATCTGTTATTTGCTCTGTGGTTTTTCGCAGCTTGGTTTCTGTTTTATCAGACAGCGTGGAAATGTCCTGAGTACTTCCGTCACCGCCTGTTGCTCCGGATCGTTGTGATATCTGTGATTCCCTGCGCCCTACATCTTGGGGTCTGAGTTTGTTTGTGTCGTAAGGATGAGCTTCCTTATTACGCAATAAGAGCCCAGCGATATCCACACCGACGACGTTCTGAATGAATTGAGTAGGAAATTAATATCTGTTTGAACAACGGCAGTTTTTTCTAAACTACTTCTCGAATAACAGGATATTTACCCCATTTTGTTGAATTAACATAATCATCAGTTCGTATAGCAGAATATATGACGCACGATCGACCATCTCTTCGTTCACCACTGCTTTCTTAATCTTATTTTCGCAATATTCTATGATAGTCTTCTTATGCGTTACGCCACTAAAAATGAAAAAAATTATCGTTATATATGTTATTCTTATTCTTGTATTCTTCATTAATCATATTACACACTTAATTAAAGGTCCCGGGTATAATCGTAAGTCGCGTGCAATAGAATCATGTGAGAGCAAATTATCTACGCGGATGATGTCCACTTTAGCTCTCTCGCCGTCAGCTGGATAACTTGGGTAAACGTGTATCAAAGATCCAATGGAGAAACAGCCTATGCATAAATTTCAAACTGACTTAGTAATATTAGACATTGATCGAAGTGTGTATAATATAAATTTGATTGCAAATACCATATGCATGAGATGTAGAATATTTGGTCGGTGTTAACCGAGCAGAAGCAATTGCCGAATCTTCCAGCAGTGATATATCACCCAATGTTCGCTTCTCGCCAGTGGTCCTGGAATAAACATATCGTTTCCTCATTACAAAGTGATAAATTAATTTTTAATAAGAGCACACACAATTGTAATAAAATAAGCATGTTCTACTTCAAATTGCACACAAGTTTAGCAAAAACAAAATTATGCACACACAAATTCTGTACATATTTACCACATCGCGTGATTACCGTTGTAATAAACCATTACTGTGAAATATTTCACAGTGTTAAGCAATTACTGCAATAATATACATTTAAGACTGTAACTAGTCATGAATAATTCTACGTGCATATTCTATGACATCTAGCCAACTATGTACGTATCGTTACAATCTTGAATAGAGTACCAAGAAGGGTAGAAGCTAAATCTCCGATATGTTTAGCTCAAGAGTTTTGAACCGAGAGGGAATTCTCGGTCTCACCTATTAAAATTGCGACAAGCCACACTGCGCTCCCGCAGACTGTCGGCCCGTCTGAAGAATCCAAAATGCGGAACATAGAGTGCCTTGTTTGGTGAATGGAAACATGCACGTGGGATTGGAAAAAATCTAACATACAACGAAGGTTAGAAGATCCATATGGAAGTGAGAAAATGAGTGTTCAAAGGTGTTAAAGCTCTTTTTTTAAACCGCTTCTTTATAATTAAAAAAAAAAAAGGAAACTTTAGGGCGCACCTGTCATCGCAGGAACTCCGACCGGAGTGAACACTGGCTCTATCCTCTGGATAATTGCTGACACCCCTGCCGATATGCTGTTGCTGCTGCTGGCTGGCGTAATATTTATGATACCACTCGGAATAGGCGGCAGGATTCGTTCGACGTAGATTTTCAAGGTACGCGTAATAATTGCTGCCGTAATGAGCGCTATAATCATACCCTCCGTATCCTGTAATTAAACGTATTTAATTTTATATAAAAAATACAATATTACTTATTGTAACATTACATATTTTATGTCGCAATGTACATACCATTGTATGCATAATAAGGATCCCTCGCACGCATGTAATATTCGCGATCTCTATCGTTGTAGGAAGATCTACTCGAAGGTCTGGAACTAATAATAGAGTTATATAAATGTTACATTGACGAGATTCGATCGTTTATTTTCGGAATACTCTGCACGAATCCTTTTAATAATAATATACCTTCTTCCATAGGGATCGTCGTAGTACGGATCTCTTCTGTACGGATCTCTAATATCGTAATCGTCGTATCTTCGAGGCCGTCTGTCGTCCCTCCTTCTCTCGCGATCCATATAATCCCTATCTCTAGTATCTCTGGGATCTCTGGGATACCGTGAATCGTAGGGATCTCTGGCATCTCGACGACGTGGATCGTCGCCTCTTCTACGATCCACGCCTACGTCCGGCCTTCGCCTGCCGTCCCGCTCGTCCAGATCCTCTTTTCCCCTGACTCTTCTATCCATGTCCTCTCTGGCATGCCGGTCCAAGTCGTCGCGGCTGTGATGCTTACGATCGTCATCCCGATACGAGACGTCCCGACGCTCGAAATCATCACGGGCGTTGTACTGGCGATCGTTGTCGGCTGCGCGCCGCCGATCGTAATAATAATCATCCTCGTACTCGCGATCGCGATCGTAATAGGCGTTCTTCCGATCGTATTCGTATCGTCTGCGATCGGGACTGCCCTCCCGTCGTCTCTCTCTACTCCCTTCCCGGCTGTTGCGAGATCCCTTGTCATCTTCGTCCTCGTAGGAATCCCGTCGGTTCGACGAGCCGGAAATACCCTGATTCTCGCTTTCCAAGGACGCGCCCACCGCTTCCTCGCGCTTAATTCGTGAATCGCTCGTCTGATCCTGTATCGCGGACATCGTCGGCAGAACTTCCGTGGGGGAGCCCGTAACTATTCTCCCGCCGGTCGTTCTGTCGTCCAGCAACGGCGTGACATCGTTGGAAGACGCTCCGCCTGGAATTTGCCTGAGCTCCGCGTCCGTCTGCTGCGCAGCTTCCTCGGATTCGTTGCCTCTACCGAGCACCTGGCGGATCTCGCTCGGCTCCAACATCATCGGAGACTGCAGCTGATACCTTTCTTCGCCCGACGGATCGTTTCGCGACTGTTGCGGCGGAAGAGAGCGCTCTCTACCCGAAGGATCGTTTCGTCGTTCTAGCGTTTCTGACTCGCCCCGCAACAGCAGAGGAGCGTTTCTCTCTTGCCCCGGAAGTACATCGCGACGTTCCGCTCTGTCGGGCACGTTTCTAACCTGCATACTCTGCTCTTGGCCCGAAGGATCGTTTCTCCTGGGATCGGACAGCCGTTGCCCGGTCGTCTGCACGTTGTGCTCTTGGCCCGTGGGATCGTTTCTGCGCGGATCTATGGAGCTCGATTGCCCTGGCACTTCGCGCAGGAAAGGAATATCATTAGGCACTTCGTCATTTTCGTCATCCTGGCTCGGCGGCGTCGGCTCGTGCTCCTGATGCGAATCCGTCAGCTCGCCGGTCTCCAGAAACGTATTTCTATCGTTCGAAGCGAACTCGTAGTTGTCCGGCATCTGTTCTTGTAGAGGCGGATGAGAGCGCATTTGCTGTTGCATCGACAACACTTGGATGTTATTTGCTTCCTCCCTCAAGTCCCGAATGTTCGTCGCCTCCTTGGGACTCGTGCTTGGCTTCGGATCATTGTCCAACGTTTCCTTATTTATGGAATCACGCGATCCATAAATGTCGCGCTTCTGCAACGCCGCAGGCGCAACAACCTCGACGTTCACGAAGTCGGACGTTTGCTGGATATTTTCATAGTTTTCCACATTTTGCCGAGGAGCGTTCCACTGCTTGGGCGTCGGGCGTATTTGATCATTCGCGTACCACGCGTCCATCTCCATTGATGTCTGCGATGCACCGTGATTGTACCATTGATCATATCCGCTTTGCGAGATGCTATCCGTTACCTTGGTAGCACCACTCTGATATGTATTCGGTATCAAATCCTGACCGACAACCGACTGACCGTCGACGGAGGGAGAGTTTTCCACGCTGTTTGATGTATAATTCGGAGGCAATACAGGCATATTTTCAGGAACAAGATTACTTCGAATGTTCGTCGCGTTAAAGTTAGCAGTCGAATGTTGAACTCTCTCATCTATGGAGCTCGAATGTATCTCTAAGAATTCACTCGAATGATCCGCGTGCTTCCCCGACTTGCTTCCAAGACTGAGTTGGCCAAAGCTGCTGGACAATTCTTCCGTCGCTGAAGAGACAAAAGTGTGATCGTTATCTTCGCCGGTAAGAACGTTTCTTCCAAAAGCATCGCTCTTCGATGATTCATCGGAGTTCAAATTATGGTCATCTCCAATGGACGACTTGATATCGCTTGATTTCCCATGATTAATCGAATCGTGAGATGACGCGGTGCTCACGACAGAAGCTGTCATCTGTTTTTCGTTCTCCTGCTGCTCATTGTTATTCGGCCTATGTACAATATTTTCCAAGGTCGTAGGTACAATCGGTGGCGCGGAAGTATAAGGAAACGCTGCGTGCGTTTGTTGTTGATCTACTTGCCTCTCGCTTGCGGCTAACTTAGTCTTATCATCTTGCAGCACGTTCTCCTTGAATGAATTGCTATCCATCTGTTGCAACCATTGATTCGCATGTATATCGCTCTGCACGTTAGGATGTCTCCAATCGTGCGGGGCGCTGATGTTGCCTGACTGCGACCAAGAATTAAATGAATCATCTATGTTATTCGTTTGTACTAGATGCGTCGACGGATGATGGATCATCGTGGTCTCACGATTTTGATTGTGCCACTGACTCGGTACAGTGTTCGATTTATTACTCGCTTCGGTAATATCTTGCTGTCGGTTAGCAGTCCAATTCAACGAATGGTCCTTGCTGATCCCTTCAACAGGCGCATTATATATTTGTGGTGGTTGCCTATACTGATTGCTCATATTGTCGACGTGCTGCTGCGTCTCCTTCGGCATATTTTGATCCTGCCAGTGACCCAACACTTCATTGTGATTCTGCCAGTTACGCTGTGCTGACAAATTCGCCGTTTCGTCTTGGTTCCAATTATTGTGTGACGTTACAGGTGGTAAATGCGTCGGTGATTGATCTTTCTGATTTTGTTGCGGCACAAGTCTCTGCTGCGTGTACATATTCTGCGACTGATGTTCACTCGGCCATTGAGCAGACTCGTATCCAGATTTCGTGACGTTTTGTCGAGGCGGCAAAGGATACTGTTGGTTTTGATTATGATTCGCATAAGGAGGGAACGAATCCGTGTAATTTGGAGCAGTCTGAAGAGTGGCCTCCGATCTAGGAGAGTTTCTATCTGACATCGAATTCTGATTAAGTACATCAGACGTATTGTCATTGAGGTTCTTGAAATAATGATCTTGCATAGAATTGGATATCAGTGGCCCTTGATTCTGATAAGAAGGTACGTAATGTTGCTGCTGCTGTTGCTGAGAATCTGATTGCTGATCCAAATTCCAATCCCAGGGATCCTTCCATGTATCGCTCATGTGTTTTGATTGATTCGCAACAGGGTGTTGCTGGGTGGTGTCGTTTGGAACATCCGATTGCGGTCTCGACATGGGCATCCACATATTTTGATTATGCATTCCATAAACAGCTGAATGATCTACCCGAGACCTTGTAGGTCTGGCTCTATAAGGATTCTAAAAATACATCACAACATTGTAGTTAGTAATTTATTTCAACATTTATATAATAATATTATTTATGATATATAAAATAGCTTAACATGAATACTTACATTCATGCTGCCTGTAAGATAGTATAGCTTGATTCACAGCAATTTTTGAAATCTGTAAATTAAAGAATTTTATAAATTTATATACATGTAAAATATATTTCCAAGAAAAATTTGATGGACATAATAGAAACAAAATAGTACAATATTTTCATCATTTATTACATCATTTTTTTCCTTGAATATTTTTATACCACTTGTATGATTAGCAAGTAATTACAGTGAAAATGATTTTTTCGTCATTACAAATTTTTTAGATTGCACTGCTAAACATGAATCTGCCAAGCCGCAAAAAAAGAATGATCGGAACACAAATGTTTAATCAACTGAATCCTATTTGCGCATATCCACAATCTCAGGAAACGCTTGTCACTGCGACGCTACGGCCTTAATGCAGACGAATGTGAATTATAAATGGATCATTAGAGTTGCAAGTCTTTTTGCGTGCGAAGAAATTTTCGAATCGGTCGCCGTGTTGCTTTCTTACAGATAAATATATGTTACGTGTGTCTGCAATACATTAAATACATAGAATGGTCTTGTTAAAAGGTGGTCGTACGATCTTTCGGCACGTATACGTGCGATAAGATCGTTCCGTTGTTCGGTAAAAGAGCGCTCTGAGCATGATAAAGATTGTCCGCGTGTGCATCCCACGCTGATGATAACGAAAGCGCAAAATCAACGTAATTATGTAACGGCGGACGTAAAAGAAGCGCTTTTTCGACGATCGCGAATATCGTCTAGGAAGTTCGAAATAGTCGTGGCTGAACCGAGCAAAGGCTACCAGCTGTGAAAGTTGGGAGACGATGACACGGCAAGGGGAATGAATCTGTACGCGTCCACTCACCCTGAACTATCGTCGCTCGCACTGCCGTCTCCACACGCCTGGTATGCGCATTATTGTTTTCCACCAAGCTGCTCTTAATTCTTTCGAACGAGACGGCGGAGCGAACGTGTCGTAGTCGTCGTCGTCAGTCGTCGTCGATGATCGCGCGCGCGCGCGGACATGAGCCTCACGAGCACACGGACATTTCAACGGGCACTGTACGCGAGAGTGGGAAAGGTAAATAGATAGAGAGAGATAAACGAGTTGAGCACGTCACGAATTTTTCCCCTCGAGCTACCTTTCCACGCGAGCAAAACCACAAATGTGTAACGCGCGGACGCAAGCTTTCGCAAACGTCAAAGCTGAGCCTCGACAGAGCGATCGCGAGATGGCGAACGCGGCGACGGCGGCTATTGAATGAATTATCGTCCACAAGTTTTTAATATTTAAAGCATAAAAACTGAATGTACTGTGTAGCGAATTTAAAGTTTAAACTGCAGAAAAAAATAAGATTTTTGTATGATGCCACAGAGGTTTTTTTGCATATGCACATTGAACTTTTTTCACCAGATGACCATCTTTAAAGGCAAGTTTTCAATAAAAAATTGAAATTTGCATCTAGTTGCAGGTCTATTTACTTTTAGTAATAAATGCTGTAACAATTATAATTATAAATTGTAACCTAAAACTGAACTTGATTATTAATTAAAGTTTAAAGATACAAAATATAATAAAAAAACGAAAATAAAGATTTAATTATTATTGATCAAAATATTCTAATTACGACTTTATTATTATTTACTACTTGTATATAACACATTTAAAAAGTATAAAGTACTTTATCTGATAAATAATAATATTGTTGAAAAATTTGCAATAGAAACTCAATTCAAGCTCATTAGTCGTTCAAAATTTTAATCGATATTTTAAAAATTACATATATTTATTCATAGTGAAAGTAAAAAAATTATTCATAAATAATCTCGTATCAAAAATTTATACATAAAATCTATAATATAAAATATAAATTGAAGAATCATGCATGATCTGTGAAGAAATTAAATCATATGTCCATGATATATAATATAATGCATTATGTACAATATTCTTATGAAATATAACTTATATTACAATAAAGTTGTGTGTTTAAACAAAATTCACCATATACGCACTATACAGATACACAAAATTACACATGTGACACGGTTGTATATACAATATATCAATTTACGTTTTCTGCTTCTTATTACTCGGTCCACTTTCTGGATCATCGGGTTGGAAAATTGTTTTTGGTTGAGTCTTCTTGTATGCTGGTGCGATCCAGTATGGCTCCTCTTCCGCTATTTTTGCGTACTTCAGAATAGCTTCCCTGGGATCCTGATCGTCCTCTATTCGTTTGCTCAGTCCGAGATTACGTATGACATAAGAACTGAGCGTTCCTCCTGAAGATGCTACTCTTCCGCCTTGTCCAGAGGTGATAGGCAGATCAGGGCGTCTCGATTTAACTGGATCAAGCCTATCTTTTTCCATCTGCTTGCGAACTGACTTGGGTCTGTCCTGGCGGAATAAGGGGAGTGCGTGAGGCGTTATAATCTGTTGAGTAGACATTATCTCGATGTGCTTCTGCTTCATGTGTGTCTTGACAACACACAACTTGGCGCCTCTCATGCTCTTCTTGGGATCATAGTAAACTTTGACAATGCCGTTGCCACAGCCGACAAACACCTGGTTTAACTTTGGATGCCACAGTGTTTTGATTACATGTGAATTTGTCACAGGAATTTCCCTGACCAAGTCAAACGTTTTACTGTCATAGAATAATATCCTGCCAGTTGTTATCCCCTTATTTAAGGATTCTCCTGTAACAATCATCGAATCATCCGGGCTGAACATGCAATCCGTTGTATCGTAACGCGAGTACAATCCCTTTGTTTCGAAGACTGGCGATTTAAACGCTCGCAAGTCCCACAGTTTCAGAGTATCGTCACAAGCTCTGCTTGCCAGCATCTGTCCAAGGTATGAAAAGCTCAAGCTTGATATTTCGCTGCCCTGCATGTGCGCGTTTCTCAGAATGAGAGACGGGTTCACAAAGTTCTTTCTGTGATCCCACATCTGAATTGAGCCATCAATACATCCGCACGCGACAGCTGCGCCTTCTCGACTGTAAGCGCAAGTGGTAGGTATAGTCTTCACACCATTTTGCGCTCTGCATTTTATCAGATTCTTGTGTCCACGTGGTCTATAAAGTACCCATATTCTGCAAGTGCTGTCTTGAGAACAAGTCAGATATTCCTCTTTAATGAACGGATGCCAACAGCCACTGTTCAGACTAGCAGTATGACCTTTTGTACGCGCCATGTCTGTGATGTACTGATCGCCTTTCACAGTTTCACACTTCTCGAAGCCGTCTCGATCCAAGACTTTTGCCTGCGCCGATCCGGATATCACCAGTATCACATCTCCTGTCATGGAATACTGCAAACACTTGATAGGATGGTTTTCACAGGGCTGTAAGGTCCTGAAACTTTTCATAGACGTGTCCATACCAGCAAAATCCCAGAAGCAGACGTCGTAATCGACAGATCCTGATGCTAATCGAGCTCCAGATGGATCCGCTGCGATTGCAATGACTGCTTTAGTGCCATGAACCATTGAGACCTCTTGAATGCAAGGAATTTTATTTTTCAGCGTTATTTCTTCTTCGGTGTCAGATGATTCTTCGTTATCATCATTGTCGCTCTCGTCGTCGTCCTCTTCCTTCTTTTTTCTCGTATCTGAATCCTTTTTTGTATCTAAAGTAGTAGATAACTCAAGTGGTATTGGTGGGCCAATAAGGTCATCATCCTCGTCGCTCTCCTTACTATCAT